GGGGGAAGACGCTGCTTGTGCAGGCTGGAGGACAGACGGGCATCCTGGCAGCTGTGGGTGGCTTGGGGGAGTTGATGATGTGGATAGTGGCTGTCTTTGTTTTCACGAGTCAGGTCCTGGCACGATGCCACCCGTCGTGCCGTGTCCCCTCAAGCCCCGTGGTGAGGGTGCCGCTGTCGAGAGGGAGCTGTGTGCCCAGGGGGGTGGGTCAGAGCCCACGTCTGCTGCTGGAGCACATCAGAGGTGCTCAACCTCTGCAACCCCCTGCTTCTGGCTGTCCTTCATGAGCTGCAGGATGCCTGGGTTGGGTGGGCAGCACCCAAATCTCCCTGGTGGGCCGCCCATCCTTGCATTCCCCTGTGTCTGGCACAACTGTGGTCTAAGTCACCCTGTGGAGCTCAGGAGACGTGTGAGTGGAGGTGCTGCCCCTGCCCTGCCACGGGGACTGGGGAGGAGAGAGCAAGTGAGGGTTAAGGGCGAAGGTTGGTGCCAGCTGTCACTTCTCTCCTGTCCAGGTCTAGGTGGTGCCACCCGCCACGTCCCAGGTCATCCGAGAGGAGGGGAGCAGGAGACCTGCTTAGGAAGGTGAATGCCATGCCTCTCTGTCTGGGGGACCTCCCGGCATCACCAGGGAGCAGCTGGAAAGCATGGCTCCCTTGGCTGCGGTGGTGCTCGCAGCTTCCAGCTGGGGGTCAGGGTCTCACTCCTGCCTTGGGGGGGATTTCAGACTGCAGGGCTCTCCAGCCAGCATCATTAACCACACTAATTACTTGGCTGATGGAAGATGGGCTGGAAGGGGCGGGGGGGTGGTGACAGCTGCGTTCCAACTCAGCTCCTCCAGGCACTTGCCGAGTCCCACATCTATCCCTCAGAGTGTCATTAAGGCAATTAAAATGGGAAGTGTTAACAGCACTAGCGGCTGCTTTCCGCATTCTGGCGGCTTCCCTTCCTCTTCTCTGTGGATCTCTTTGCTCCCGCCTCAGCTCTGGAGCTTGTCAGAGTGAGTTTAATGTCTCTGCTTTGGGTCTGGGCAGTTGGCTGGTCTCCAGCTATCCCCCCCCCCCCGGCTTGGCAGGGTGAGCTGCCTCCTGCTGCAGTGGGGCAGGATCCCAGCCTGGCCCTTGGGCAGCAGGAGGGGAAGGCTGCCCACGACAGATCTCCGGTGGCAGCTGGTGTTTCCCCTGGGACCAGAGCCACCGTCTCCCTGCCCACAGATCGCCTGCCTTCAGGAGAGATGAGGAGGAGGAGGAGGGCTTTGTCTGAGATGCTTCACTGCAGGCGTGGTACAAACTGCAGTGCTGCTATCGCAGTTGTTTCTCTGTGCAGGCGTCTCAAGACTCTGGGAGATTTCTTCCCTGGGTTGGTGCTTGGGGCTTGCTTACTCCCCTCTCTGTGTACAAGAGGTTCGGAAAAGCCGCTTGGACAGCCCACCGTTTATTGCCAGCGCCTGGCTGCAGCCCACGTCAGCTTGTGGTGGGTCAATGAGCACGGTGTCCCCAGGGCAGCTGTCCCCTCCCCAACAGCCGATGTCTCCCTGGCTGCATGTCAAGCAGCTGTGGCTGCCTCCAGCCCTGCAGGCAGGGAGAAGCCCTATAGGGTCGCTCCCTCTGGGGTTGTGGGGGGGGTTCATCCCCAAATAAATGCCAGTTCAGTGCTTCTTCCAACAGTCCCAGTGTGCCCACTGCTGCAGGCACCAAGCGGGGCTGCGGCTGCTTGGACGCAAGCCCAAGAGCCAGGGGCTAAGGGGAACGCCTCTTTCAGGCTTAAGGCAGCGTCCCTGTGTTTCTGAGACTGCCAGCGCCTCCGAGCGCAAGTGAGGGATTGCTTGTAGGGCCTTTCCCGCAGCCGACGCATACCTGATCCCATTCCCAGCCTGGCTTTTCATCACTTTTCCCTGGCTTTGTCCCAGGGCTGCCATCTATGCTGGGCTCTTGCACTGGGAGCAGTGCTTACCTGCCATTGCCATGTGGGTGCCTGTGCCCTCAGGGGCTAGGGGTTGCCCCATGGAGTGTGGAAATGGCTCTGCGCTATTTTTCTTGGCTGGAGCTGTATCCTGCCTTGCGCACAGGAGCAATCAGTGTTTTCCAGCGCGTGCAGCGCTCACCAAGGCACCCCTCCGCAGCCAGGGTTGGCCGAGGACTGCCTTGCTGGAGGCGGCGAGTAGCCCTGCCATCCCCAGGGGACGGGGAGCAGATGCGGCCTTGCCTCCCAGCACTCTCCTGCTTGCACCATATTTATTTATTTTGAGCTTCAGACAGCTGCCATGTGTGCACTGGCAGGGCTTTTCTAATGCACCGCTGGAGCAGAGGATCCCGTGTGCGAGGGCGAAGAGCCAGCTCTGTCTGCTGAGGTTCACGCTGAATCCAGGATGGGCTCACTCTGGATTAGAGACTTCTCAGCCCCAGGGGATCCCCTCTGAAATTGTGCTTTCCCTCTTAGCCTGCGGACAGACCCTGCTGAGCAAGGCCAGCCTGGGAGTAGGAAGCGTTTCATCTCGGTTGAATCTGCATTTCTTAGGTGCCTGGGTGACACTCAACCGTGTTTGGAATGAGCTAGCTGGCCTCAGTGATGTATGGAGCCATAGAGATGTTGTTGCCTGAGCCATGTGTCCCTCCGGTGACAGAGCTCTGCAGATCTAAGCTTTTGCCTTGATGGAAAGTGGCGAGCCAAAGGCAGGGAGGCGGCAGGCTGGCCCAGGCAGGTGGGACCCACTGGTGCCATCCCTGCCTGCAGGCAGAGCTGCCCCTGCAGCTGGGGGGCTCCCAGCATGTGTAACCCTGCAGCTGTGAGATCCCTGATGAGCACAAGCGAACCCTTTAGCCTGGAGAACGTTTTGCTTTAAAACCCAGAGAACTCCCCAGCATGTGGGAGCTTGCGGGTTCCTGTCCCAGCTGGTAGCAGTGAAGCTCCAAAGCACATCCAGGGAGTCCTACGGGGCCTTCAGAGAGCATCTGCCCTGCTTGCCGGCAAGGGAAGCGGCCTGGCCGGCCTGAAGCCTGTGTCCCGGAGGAATGGTTACCTAATGCTGGTCGGCTCAGGGCAGCCTCCCTTCCCTGCAGCAGCTCGGGTTGGGAGGAGCTTGCCTTGCTCAGAAGAGCATCTTCCGAGGAGGTGTCCCTGCTCCTGGTTTCGCTCATGGGGAAGGACCAGGGTGTTCCCTGCTGGGAGCAGCATCAGAAAAGCTTCTGCCCAGCTGCAAGCCAGTGGCTTCCTTGGGAGTAAGCAGCGGAGGTTTATCTGGGCAGCTGTTTCTTTGCCTGAAAGTGATTTTTCAGGGCCAATTCAGTGGCTAGATATGGGCTTGCACCCTCAAAATTCTCAGCAAAGCTGTCAGCGAGTGGTGCAGAAGGGAGCTGGGGGCGGAGGGGGCAGCTGGCAGCGACGTGTCTTCCTGTGGCAGGGAGCAGAGGTGGTCCAGGGGTGGTTTTACCAGAGGTCTCCACTTTGCAGGTGCATGGAAAAGAATATAACAAAGTCCACTTTCCTCTTTTCCTGCCCCTTTTCATTCCTGATCTTTCTTCAGGCCTTTGGATTTCTCCATCAAGCAGGATGATAAAATAGGATGATTAAAAAAAAAGAAAGTTGCCACACACACACAACTTTCTGTCATTGGCTCTGTCAGGATGTGTTGGCCAAAACCTCATACTGTTTGGTCTGGCAAGATGATCCCAGGCTTTGGAAATGATGCTGTTCCTCACTGGAGTCAGCCCAGTTAATTACCTTCTGGTAATTATTGGTGAAAAAGGAACCAGGCAGGGGTAAGAAGCCCCAGCTGTCTCCTGGGCTGTGGGCAGAAACCTCATGGTTGGGCGCCTGGGTTGAGACCTTAAATTGGAGCAACTCTCCAACTGTGCTCTGTGGCAGAATTAGTTACAGATTAATTAATTAATTATTAATTACAGTGTGTGTGAATGTTGAGGTGTTGCAGGAAGGATTGTTGCGAAGGGTGATTACAAAGTGCAGGACAAGAGCTGCTTCTTGGTGCAGACTGTTGAAGTGTCAGCAGTGATGCACAAAGCGCTCCCGTATGGAGCGGTGTGCTCCCATACGGAGCATTATCATTATGCTTAATGTTCTTTCATTTAAAGGGTCTGAAAAATTAAGCACTTCCCATCACAAGGGTGTAGCGAAGCCCTTCTTTCTTCATCTCCCTCTGTGTTCTCCAGAAGATGCTTGGTGTGAGTGCTGGGCTCGCTCAGGCGGCCGTGACTGTGCCAAGAGCTCTGCACATTGGAGACGAGAAATGGTTTTAATTGTTTGCAAAGGGAAATTTCCCCAGAGCAGCCTGTGCAGCATCATTGGAAGCTCCTGGCAGCAGGAACTTCTCCGTGGCTCCCCATGCTCCGGGAGGCAGTTTTCCCATAGTGGCAGTGCCGGGAGCCACCTAGCTCACCATTCAGCCGCGCTGCTCTCCCTGCTGCCTCACTAAACCCTGTTGTATTTTCTCTTGCAGATTTTCCGACGAGCTGACAAGAACGGTGAGTGCTTTTTTTTCCTGATGCTGCTTCCCCCTCCCTGCCCGGGTCTGGGCAAAGCAGTGCAGCCCGTCCCCACCAGGAGGTTTGGCTGACAGAGTGAAGGAGGATAAGGGCAAGTAGCTCTCTGGCTGCAAGAAAAATGCTTTTCTGCTTTGCCTGGAGGAAGAGACACCGGAACAAGGGGCCTGGCCAGGGGCTGGAGAAGTGGGCTCCCCCAGTTCACTGTCCGTGTGCCATGCAGGACAAAGCCGCATCCAAGCCCTTCCCCTGCCTGCGTGCACATGATCTCTGCTCTGCGCTGCTAGCAGTGAGAACAGAAGGCAAAGTGAGCTGTGGAGCAGGCAGCCCAGGGGCTGTCAGGCTTCTGCTCTGTCCCTTGCAGGATTGATTCAGTCTCTGCGCTCAGTCCAGGGTTTTACAGGTGCCCCCGGTTGGGTCACCCTGTTCCTGGATGCCCACTGGAGCCCCTGGCATTTGAGAGTTAGGCTCTGCTACCCAGTTTTTATTCAGGCACCCATAAACCAAGAAGTCCAAAATTACAAGTTGTTTCTCTGAGCCTTCCCACCTCCTCTTAGGCTCTTCTCCTTCCTGGTAGCTTGCAGGCTCCAGGAGTTGCTTTTGTTGCAGATCAAAATGCAGCCCAGGAGCTGAAGTCCTCCACAGAGAGGGAAGAAAAAGCTCTTAAATCAATGGAGAGATTTTCTTTCCATAAAAACCTCATGCTGTCCTCACTGTGCTGTTTGTAATGGACTCTGTACTTGGACAGTCATCTAAGTACAGAGTGTCTGCCTGCATTTCTGAAAACATTGCAGTGGGGTCTTTTGGAAGGGGCTGAAATTGCCACCTGAAGTTCCAGCAGCAGTGACCCTGCTTGGCAGCGCTCCTGGGTTTTTGATGGGGACTGGTGGGACATGCTTTCAATGAGATATCTGCTCTAATTATTATGCACAACACGCCCAGCCATCCCACGCTCCTGTTAGAGAGGCTGCTGGGAGGATCACTGGGGCCTGTATGCTTCTTTCTGCAGATATATAATTATTCTTCCCTTTTATTTAAATGCAGATGATGGGAAGCTATCATTTGAGGAGTTCAAGAACTATTTTGCTGATGGGATCCTGAGCTCGGAGGAGCTGTGGGAGTTGTTCAGTGGCATTGACAGGCGTCATTCAGAGTAAGTGCTGTGGTGGCACAGAGAAGACGAAGGAGAATATAAAACTGCTTGACTGTAGATGGAGGGCATTTGGAGGCGGGTGCGATAAATAGTCAGGGTGAGATAAACCTACCTCTTGTAACACGCAGCTGTTAAAACCCATTGAACACCAGCTACGAGCATTGGTGATGAGAGAAGCCAGACATTTTGAGAACAGCCATTATCAGATTTACTGTAGTTCCGTAAAAGCAAGCATCCATTTATAATTACATTATGTTAGTTTGAAAAATGTATTCCAGAAATATGCAGCTCTATAGAGCAGCTTGTGTGTCTGCAGGAGGAACATGCAGTGGTGTGAGGGCGATGCACAGACTGTGTGAAGTCGCAGACGTTGCCACTGCTGACACAGGGAACGGCTTTTCACTTACGTTAAGAGCTGCTTTCTACCAGAAGTGGGCCTTAAGAGTGTAACTGTGAATTTAGGTCAGCTACTCTTAAAAAAAGAAACCCCCAATGAACAGGAGAAGTAATTGCAGTCAGACCATGTCTCCTCTTGACTGGTGCTATCTAGAGGTGTCTGTTGGCCTCAGCTGGGATTCTCATCCCAGTCTTTCAGACTTGCTGGGGTCCCTCTGCCCTGCTGGCCACTGTGAATGAGCATGTTTTGGCACTGGGAGAAGCTGATTGTTGATTAATTGCATGTCTTGGGGCTGCCAGTTCAAATGGAGGGGTGTTGCTGGCAGAGAAAAGATGGCTGCAGCTTCCTCCCGGTCTCGGCTCAACTCTGGCACGTGCCGCTTCCCTGGCACCCCAGGAAGCATCTCCTGCACCTCTGACGCCCTTGGCCAGGGCAGTGACTGAGCAAGTCCCCACGAGGGAGAGGTAACTCGGAGCAGCGTTAGCTGCACATGCTGGTCCCAGGGCTTTGCAGGGAGCCAGGGCAGCGGCACGGAGGGCCTGTGCCATGCTGAGATGCCAACAGCCACTGAATGCCAACAGCCACTGACAGTAGATACCCAGCGGTCCCTGGCTGCAAGTCCCCACATCATCCACCCAGGACTCAGGGATGACTGACTTCTGCTGAGTGTCAGGGTGGTGGGGTAGCTGATGCTCCCACTTTAGTGATGGGGCAGAGAAGTGGACTAGGATGTGCAGCCCCTGGTGCCGCTTTCTTTTAAGCCTGGCTGCCTGTCCTGCCAGTCGGGCTTGTTGGATGTGTGCAGCAGGAGGTGTCTCCTGAAGATACCTATCTCTTTGGGCTGTGATCCCAGGGAGTTAGCAGTGAGCTCTCCCCTTTCCTCTGCAAATACTCCTTTCCTCTCATTCCGTTTTGGGGTGACCTTGGAGTCACTCCCCTGTACAATACCGCTGGAAAACACGGGTTGCAGTGAAGCAGAGAATTTTAACTGTGCCCTTAACTGAATGGCGAAGATCTCCTGGTATACCATCGCTTTGAGGTCAGGCTTCTTCCGTCTGTCCAGACCAGATAAACAGGACTGACGGAAGGGCCCCATGCGAGCGGGCTGCCTGAGCGCCATGCACGGCCTGGGCTGCAGCGGTGCTCTCTGGAACATGTTACCCGTAATGACGGTGCGGTAGCTATGACAACGTGGCAGTTGCAGCGTTGAGCTGGTGACATCTATTAGCAGGGCATGACCATCAGGTCTTTGATCTCTTTCTGCCATGAAGAGCAAAAGGGACCCTGTGGACAAAGCTGGTTTCCAAGTTCCTGTCTTCAGTGGCTTCAGGGAAATATAGGAGATGCCATCCCTCCAGCCCTGCAAGGATGCTCTCATTTCTACAAGAGCAAAAGGGAAAGTCCAGCCCTGAGGCGATTGCAGGTGTCATTCTTCTTTCTGTCCCTGGCTGGGACATGGTTGATGTGCACAGCTTCAGCGTGAGCAGGTGGGAGTGGGACAGGATGTGGCAGCAGGGAACTGTACGTGATTTCTTCAGCTTCATCCCCAGCTCGCCGAGGAGGAGGTGGGACCTCCCAGAGAGGGAGCCTGATGCTCAGCTTATTGTCTGGTAAGAGGCATCCTGCCCCCTGCAAGCAGCATCGGGCAGCTCTACGTCTGCCAGAGTGCTCTGATCCTCGCCCAGAGCCGCCTAGTGCTGGGACGGGGGACTTGGAGAGACGGGCCTGTCCCCAGGGAGGCATGACCTCAGGAGCTGCCCAGGGACTGCTTGTCCATGGCACAGCAGCAGGTAACAGAAATCAAGCAGCATTCAGCATGCTGAGCTTTGTAGAGGTCTCAGTGGCTCTGTGTGTAGAGCTGGCCTTTCTGGCATTTGGTTTTGGTGTGTGCAGGGGGTCGTGCTCATTTGTACAGCCTCTGGTGTCTCGTAAGGGCTGTGCTGGTGCCCTCCTGTCCTGCCGATGGCGTGGCTGGACAGCCCCTTTCCTCCGGGCTGCCTGCTTGGTGTGCACTTGCGGGAACTTAATATTTTTGAGAGCTGGATAAAATTTGCTGCCAGATTCAAGAGTTATTAGCTGAGGTAAAACTCAAGTTGCTGGAAAGCAACTACAAGCTCTGCAAACATATCTGGTGTGCTTCTTTCATGTCCTATACCTTTTCTGATGATGGGAAAGTTTCACCCTTAATCCAGGGGGTGGATTTGGCCACAAGGGTAGTGTGTTCATCAGGTCTAGGCTGAAACTTGTGTTTCTTTGTCAGTGCCAGCCTGACCCAGGGAGAGACAGTAACAAGAGACCTTTATACCCCGGCACTCTCTCTGTCTGGGTAATGGAGTGTTGCCCAGACACGTGCTGGCCCTCGCCCATCACTGTGAACCTGCAGCTGCACCCCTGGGTCCCGAAGCTGGCATCTGGGAAGATGAGTATTTTGGAGGACCCATACATGACTCGTTCTCCTCCCAGAGAGCCCATGGCACCACACTCTACTTTTCTCCCCATTGTTCCCATCCGATCTTCGCTGTACCTCCCATCCACTCGGCACTCAGGTGGGATGCTGTGGCCTGTGTGTGTCAGGCACCTCTGTTGGGTTTGGTTCAGGTTTTATGTTTCCCCATGAGGCTTTTTTTGCCCTGCATTTCTGAAAATTGTTCTATTTTGGCTTTAGAATATCTTCTTGCTCTAATCCTTTGACATCTAAACAATTATGTAGAAACCAAATTCAACTCTTTATTGCAATTTGGTACAACAACTAGGTCCACCATTTCATTCAGCTTGTCAGAAAGCTCCACACCAGCTCTGGCACTGGTGCAGAACAGAAAGATTTATCTTCCTGGAAGAGGACATTTTCATCCACTGAAATGCCTGGGTGAGAAGAGACAAATGTTTTTGAAGGGGTGAAAAAGCTCCATTGCTGCAGAAGCGTCCCGGGATGTGTACAGTGTGGTTTGCTCTCTGAGCAGCCGTGCATCTGTCTGCAGCCCAGCCAGGCAGGATGGCAACAGATCCCAGGATCTTACGGGGACAGCTTCACGGAGAGTCAGTTACAAAGAACGCTGTAGTGCCGCATAGGTTGTGTGCCTACTGCTCTCTGCAGGGGACCGTGGAACCTGCCCAGGGAAGTGTCACGTGGACCTCGCGTGTCTTTCTGTCCTGCATCTGTTGGGAAATTTAGAAAAATAAGGTCTGGCAAATCCTCCTTTGTGTGAAGAGTGGTCAGATAGCAGGAATTGGGTACAGACTGCCCAGAGCTTGTGTCCCTGACCTTGAGTCAAAAGTGAAAGAGGTGGGAGTGCTGAACTGGTGGTTTTTAAAAACTCTCCTTGGAAATAACCTCAGGCCTCTGGTTCTGTGGAGGAAGGGACTTGTGTGAACTTCCCTCCCCTCTCTTTAGTCAGAGACTTAGAGCCGCAGCATCTGCCAGTCTCTGAGTGGAGAGTGACTGAAACTCTCTGGGTCACACTGGAAAGGTTTGGAAACCAGATCTGTGATGGCAGCAGAGGTTCCCAACATGATAATGGATAAAAAGAAAAAAATTCCTATCTGCTTTGCTGAAGCTGATTGCTGTTTTCTTGCATAAATTCCAGGCACATTCTGACAAAATCCCAACAGCATAATGATGACAAGATCCTTCATCATCAGCTCAAGCTTAATTACAGTTAATCAGTGGTTTGAGCACAGTCAAAATACAGTCAAAATGTGTAAATGTGGAGAGTCTCAGGATGAGTGCTTTTGAGGCAGAGGATGGCTCTTCTCTTGGAGTGGAAGAGGCGATGGCGGGGAGAGGAGCGGAGCAAAGCCTGCTGCCCCACTGCAGCCCTGCAAAATGCTTTGGGATTTGATGTGCAGGTTCTTTACATGAGTTCCTCCTGGTTCTGGTATGAAGTAGCTTCTGGCAGCATGAAAATGGCACCACTGGTCCTGTGATTTGCTTGCTGTGCTCTGTCCTGCCCCTAACTGTGCCCTGGGGGCTGCTGCAGGATGCAGAACGTGAGAAGAGGTGGCCATGCAGTGTTGCTGACGGAGCAGGCTGCACTGGGGAGGGAGCAGATCTTCCACTGGATGACTCCCAGAGGGCTGACTTTTGCCACAAGATCTTGGCGATTGGTTCAGTGTTTAACTGAACGTTGTGTTTTAGTGATTGATTAGTTAACGTTTGTTTTTAAGCAGCAAACAGACAAGGTAGAAAGAGTTATTAATAATCTCTGGCCTCTCCTTAAAAGTCATAGAGTTGGTGTTGATCATAGCTCTGTCACACGGACGCCTGCTTGCTAGAGCCGAGGTGGGGAACTGGGCAGTGGGTTGAGCTGGTGGCCCCTTCTTCCTCCTGGTAAAACCAGTCCCAGCCCCAGGTTCTCACTGGGGACAGATGCAAATGCTTGAGTAACATATGCATTAGGTGTTTCACTGTGTATTTTGTTATCTCATGTCTACATCCCCTATTCTGTGATTTGATTTTTTTTTTTAACCCGTCTCTTGGATGGGAACCAGTGGCTGCAGTTATTACTCTGGGGCATAGGTCTAACAAGCAGTGCTATGGATGCTCTGGTGCAGCAGCAGTGGCTCTGCAGGCTCTAGGCAGCTTTCAGAAATAAGTGCAAAAATTAAAAAGAAGCAAGGCATTTTTCCAATTTAAATTTGTGCTTCAAACCCCAGTCACTCTATCTAGCAGAGCTGTGGTCAGATGCATGGGGCTGCTCAGAGATGGGATCAGCAAAGTTGGGTGGAGTGGAGTCCGCAGAAGAAGGGGCTCTAGTTTTGCTGATTAGCTGTGTTGCATCTCAAGGGAAACACTATTTTTTTTTTTTATCCACTTTAATAACTGTCTGCAGTGCCAGGACAGTGCGCCAGAGCCCTGCCTTAATCAGCTCCTGCGGTAGGTGTTTAAAATAGATGAGCCAAATCACAACCTAAAACTGCCCATCTCCACTGCCTAAGGCGATGCCTGATGCAATTAGCTAAAGAGGGGTCTGCGGTCCCACTGCCATGAGTCCGTGATGACGTCTCTCACCAAAATATTTTCATGATTTAAGCACTGTCTATTACTAAAGTACACTAAGTGGGAGCCCAGCAGAAAGACACAGAAACCAGTCTTAGATGTTGGGGCGGGGAGCGGGAAAGCTGTAGGAAGATTTTGCTTAAATTATTACACCTGTTCCTGGCATGGACTTTTGGATGCTTTGCACACTCTCTTCTAATTTTACCTTGGGGCATTTTTGCCCCTTTGCCCTGTGAGCAGCATCAGAGGAGGGACAGGGCGATGTGGCCCTGGTTTGACTTCCCCTGGGCACTGGCATTGCAGCCATTGTTGCGTGTGGAGCCCAGCAAACTCCAGTTATCACTGGTTCCTCCATGTGTGACAGCACTTAAATGCTTTGAGCACAAAAGGGAGTTTTTTATCCACTTTCCCAATCAGGATTAAAAATGGTTGTAATCATTTAGGGCATTTTGAGACAGCAGAATTTCTTGAGCAGAGGCTGATTTGAATAAACGATATCCTGGGGCATTTCCCTGCAGGCTCTGCAGGTGATGCCAGGCATCGCAGGCAGCTCTGCCTCCGTGGCTTTGGCCACGTGAGTGGGTCTGACAGCTTCATGCGAACCCATGGGTCTGCTTCACAGCCCATCCTGAAAACATGTCCCTGCTTTTGGATGTTTCCTCCTCCCTCTCCACCCCAGCAGCACCTTTACTAGCAACAAGAGGGACCTGTCCAAGCCCTGCAGGGATGCCAGCATTGATTCTCCAGTGCAGTTACTCTCCCCTCCCGAAAAGGGGAGAGTAAAAACTGCCTCCCGGTTTTTGGACCCAGATCCCTGCTTTAATGGCCTTCACAGCAGGAGCAACCCCTCTTGTGGGCCGTGAAGCCATCCAGCTCCTTGCCCTGGGAGCCTGAGGGCAACCCCAGGTCACCTGGGCTGTGAAGGCAGGGAAGAGGAGGAGCAGCTGGGAGGCACCTGTGGGGCAGCTGGGAGAGGAGGGTGCCATGGGGCAGGGAGGGCCTGGGCTGAGGTCAGGGAAGCATGAGGAGGGATCTCTAGCTGAGTGCTTCACACCTTTGGGGGAAGAGGTTGGTTGAAGAAGCAGCTTCTGGGGCTTGTCAGCTCCAGGGCTCAGAAACGGGGCTGCCAAGCCAGCTGGCCAGCCTGGAGGCGTGGAGCGCTGCCTGCCTCCCCTGACTTCTGTCCCAGCCCCATCCTGCTCTCACAGACACTGTCCCAGCACACTCCAGCTCCAGGAGATGTTGGTGGAGCAGCTTTGCTTGCTCCTTCAGCCTTCAAAGCAGAGGCGATGCTCTGCAGCCCTGCCTGGGTGCTGCAGGTGCTGGGCATGGCTCCTGAGCTGCTGGCTCTAAACTGGTGCAGCTTTTCATTTTTCTAATAGAGCTTTTGAAAACACATGGGAGGAGCAGTAAATCCACTGGAGGCTCAAGACAAGCCCTCAAGCCCTGCTCACCACATCTGTTTCTCCCGAAGCAGCCCCACTGTCTAACAAGAGCTTGTTTTTTTTTTCTTGCAGTAATGTGGACACGGAAAAATTATGTGGTAAGTAGGGTGGTATTCCTGCCTCAGAGGGCTTCCTCTCTTGAAGGTCTGTGATGGGGCTTTGTGCACGTCTGACCTGCACAGGACTGGGCAAAGTGGCATTGACAGTCCCTGTGCCTGAATCCCAGCACAGAGGGCATCTGTGTTTTTCCCAAGGGGATGGGACATTTTGTCCCTGGAGATAGGAAAGGACTCTCTCTTTCAGTCCAGGTGGGAGCGTGACTCTGGAGAGGATGTGAATGCTCCCTTGCAGCACCAAGCTGTGTGCGGGAAGCAGCAGGTGCGGGGTGGGCAGAGATGGAGGTGCTCAGGAAGCTCACCATGGTCTTCTCTCCTGCTTCAGATTATTTTTCAGCCTATCTCGGAGAATACAGGAATGTGCTTTCTGCCCTGGAAGCCCTCAACTCTGCCGTCCTGGCAGCCATGGACAAAACCAAGCTGGTAAGGATGGGACCATGGGAGGGTGGTGGGGCAGGCAGGTGTGTAACAGAAGCCATGCTGATCTTAGCTGCTTATTTAGCATTAAACTTAGGTATCAGAGGCAGCAAATGTGGTACAACCCAGATTGACGGGGTTGCCTGCAGGTGCTTTGGTTGTCTTCATGTGCAGTGAATGCCACAGCAGCACAGCCTGCAGCATGCCTGGAGGAGAGGGAGCCGTGCTGGAGGAGGAGTAGGGTAGAGCTAGTGCTTTTGTCTCTGGAGATGTCTTCTTCCTCACAGGGCTCTGGCAGCAGTTGTTTCAACAGCTCCTTGCAGACCACTTGCAGGGTCCTGCCTGGGGACACTGTTTCTGGGAGCATCGCCGATAATCTATGTGTTGCGTCTCCGAGTGAGGTCTTTTCCACAAAACAGTGTGGCATGAAATGGGGACTCCAGGGTTGAGCCTGCTCTGGACTGACCCCAGCAGCTTGTGCTCAGCACAGCCTGTGCTCACAGCAGCAAAAATTGGCTGCTGGAGAGGGATGGGAGCGACTGCTTCAGGAGGGCCGTGTTTGGAAGCAGCAAGGCGCTTAGGAAAAGGTAGGAAATGGTGAAATTCATTGACTCCCAGCCTTGTGCCAAGCTGATCCCTGTGGTGAATGCTCTCCCTCTCCCTGCAGCTTGTACTGATGGGAAGCAGACTGGAGGCTGCTAATTAGGGCAAGCAGCCTCCTGCTTTGTGAGCCCCCCTGCCTCTGCGTTGGCGAGCAGAGGTCTGCAGTGCACAGTGTCGCAGGCTAAATACAGCCACAGAAAAGCAGTGGCCAACACTGGAAGGGACCCTCCTGGGGGATCAGCAGCCCTCTTTGCATCTGAAATGTATTAAATGGTTTAGCCGTGTACTTGGGGCTGGTGCTGGTTTACAGCCATGGGAAGGGTCAGCCCTTTCTTTCCCTTGGATGTGGTGGTTTGATGAAGCGGGTAAAGGGTGTCATCTACCTGCACGCTGACCACCGACCTATTGATCGGACAGGGAAGCCAAGGGGGACCAGTCCCACTGTCAGCTCTACAGGGTCGTCGAAGTGTTGTTTGTGCCTCTGTAGTGTCCGTCACGATCTTGCCCTCTCTTTGAGTTTTCCACTGGCCAGATCCAGCCTTGGCAGCGTCTCCCTGTACATTGGGAAATGACATGCCAGTAGAAGGAATCACTTGAAAATGCATTTTCTCTTTGGTTCAGCTGCCTGGCCCCCTTCACAGTTATGAAATGCAAGTCCAGAGGGAGAGAATGAATCCTCCTCAGAGAGCTATGCTTTATTTCAGTTTTTCTCTGTTTTGTTTTTTGGTAATGAATTTTTATATTCATGTATTTCTCCAAAGGACAGCGCAATTACTGTCTACTTCATGGTATTGGCATGATGCATTCATTCACTTAATAGATTCTGGTGCCACAGGTGTTCCCTGGAAAACAGAAGCAGGTTTTCCCTGTTGAAACAGATTTGTGTGGATTCAGTTTTCCTGTTTGGATCCACCTGGAGCCAGGGCAGCCTGATGTTCACAGCACTGCTCTCACCCAGGTGAGGTCTGTGCTGATTGGATCTCTGATCCCAGCCCTGAGCTCCTGGATGCCCTGATGCAGATGCTGACCCTGCTGGGAAGCATCTCCCTGCGCTTTCCTGGTCCTCTGAGCCGGCGAGAAGGCAGGAGAGGGCAGTGCTCCAACCCTGTGGTCAGGGCTCTTGCAGAGCTGTGGGAAGTCTGCCGCTGCTAGAGGCTGGCAGAGATGATAAATGCTGCATTCTTACCTGCTGTGATCTGAATATATTCCCACGTTTGTATTTCCAGAATGGGACTCGATCTTGGATTATTACAGGATTAGTGGGTTTATTAGATTGGATTTTAGCCAAAGCTCACACCTCTCTGAGCCAGGGGAGGGGGCAGAGAACAGAGATTTCCCATATTACACGTCTGTCCCTCATTTCTGTTGATTCAAATACCTGTCATGCCACCATGGCTGAGGACAGAGAGTCCCAGTTTGGCAGAGAGACCACCCTCCTGGAAGAGCCAAATGGAACCTCATCCTGGGGAGCTGCTTTTGCTGGAGATGCAGCTGTGCTGTGTGCTGAGCAAACTGGAAGAGACCTGCCTGCTCCCACGGCCCTCAGCATAAAGCTCTGCTTCCAGAGCAGGCCTGTGGAGCCAACAGATGTTGAAGGATCTGCAGTCCCTGCCTGTTTTTCCCAGGCTGTATTTAAGAGAGCTTTGCCTGACTCCCGAGGAGGCAGCGATACCTGGACTAGCTAGAAGAAGGGGATCCCTGACTTGAGCTGGGTCTCACCAGTTAAACCACAGCATCTCTTTGTTAGGGCATGGTCCATCTCTGGTAGTTCCTTACTTCTGCTGCCACAGGATTGCTCACCCCTGCATCCTCCAGGTACTTACCCCACAGCTGTAAATAGGCTTGTGTAAATATGAGCCCACTTTACAAGCAGGAGAACACATGGAGAGCATGGGACGCTTTGTTAGCACAACAAAAGCAGAGCCTTGGAGATGTGCTTGTCTTGCTCAGACCATGCCAGGGCAATAAGCTACAGGGAGGAGAGAGAGGGGGAAATAAGGAAACCAAAGCTCGGAGGGAATATACTGCAGCTCTGTGTTAGGGAGCTGTGGTTTGAAGCAGTGCTGTTGGAAGCCTTTTTGGTATTGAGGATTCCCACCTCTGTGCATGCCATCACGGTCTCTGCGGACCGTGGTACCTGCCGTGGATCAACGGTGTGTCTCACCAGCTGTTTCCTCGCTGTCAGGCTCCTCAATCTGCTGCCTGCCGTGCACGTTGTCAACCGCAGGATAAACACTTGCATGGGAAACACAAGCCGGGTTCGTCCTTCTCTCTGTGTAAGTGACTGCAGTTACTGTAGGAAGTAGTGTATGTGTGGGCAGCAAACCTGCTCGTGGTCTTTTTTATGGATCCACAGGTTGGCAGGAGGAAACCAAATCATTAGGAGGTCCTACACTCCTGTCCTTCCTCACTGGGTTGGTAGAAACATGGTAAGGAGAAGATGTCTTTTCAAGAAAAGAGCGTTTTTCTCCAAATTCTGTCATTCCCACATTTGTAAAACATATCTTGATACCTTTGCTGTGGTATACTAATTAAAGCTTATCTCGTGGCTAAACTTTACATTTGCAATATAATAGTGTCAGAGTAAGAAGTGAACTGTGGAAATACCTTGGGAAACAGTGTGATATTTCTCACAGGGGACCTATGTGCTAAAATCTTTCCGTTCTCCAGTTTGCAGACACTGCAAACTAGCCCATAAATACCTCTCCAAGACAGGTGCTCTTATTTCTTCTTTGGCAGGAATTATGTGATCACCTATTCCATTCTGTCCCAAGCTTAATCATCATAAGATACTGATGAAACCTCTCAAAAGCAGAATTAGAGCAGCTCTTGACAACTTTGTGATTTTCATCTGGGTCAACAGAGTTGAAATAACCAGTTCATGGCCAAAAAGCCTTGTCTTGGGCTTGCTGAATTATTTCCTTTGTGACTCCTTTCCATGAGTCTCTGCTATGAGCAGAAAATGCTGTGCTCAGTGGGACAGAGCATGCTTTTAGTGAGCCTCTGTTTACAGAGGGGTTTGAACTGCATGGTTCAAACATCTGACAAGAGGATTTTTCTTGTTTGCTCCAAAGTGAGGAATGCAAAGAGGACCAGGCAGCTGAACTGAAGGGAAGGTGCATTTTTCAATTGATACCCTCCCCTGGCATGAAATTTTCCGAGTCGATGCAGAAGGGTGAAATAGCATTTGGGGCTCTCTTGAGAAATGGTCATTTCCACCCTTCTCTCCGGTGCATTCCCCTGGGTGTGCTGTGTTTGACGAGGAGAGAAACAGGAGGCAGCTGGCTTGTTGTGTGCGATGCTCACCCGAAATACTGATGTGTCCGCGTGGGATCCTGCTTTGTCCTTGCAAGGTGGGCTGCGGCATGCTGGGACCAGGAGAATGGGCACGGCGAGCCTCAGAGCGGAGTTCCCTCCAAGCACAGCATGCCCCGAGATGGTATTTGGGTTTTTTGGGGTGGCAGCCCTGTCTGGTGCCTGTGCCTGTGTGTTTGGGGTCTAAGGACTGCGCTGGGGCGAGCTGTGGGGCTCAGGGCAGGTGGGACATGCCCCCCGCAGTTGTGACACGATGTCGGTGGGAGCAGCTGCCTGCTCCTGCGATAAAACTCCATCCACCAACATCATCCACAGGGGACACCAGGATTATGCCATCCTCAGGATGAAAGCTGAGCGGACGAGGAGTGCTGGGAGGCTGGCTTGACGCCGGGGCTTCTCCCAGTGCCTGGCCCTTTGAAGAGGAGCGATGGGGTTGGGGAGAAGCGTCCGGCCCCTGTGCAAGGGGAAGCATCAATATGCCAAGGCTGTGGGGGCCGCAGCCGGCCCCGGCGGGGAGCTGGGAGGATGCGTCGGAGATGGGAGCACACTTCGTTAAGCGGCTCCTGCTGGCTGTGGGGAGTGCCCTCTGTGCAGAAAGAGGGGTGACAGCGTTTGGATTTGGACCAGCTCCCGGAATGAAACGGACTGTGCCCGGGCACGCGGTGGCTGGGTAACGTATCCTTTCTGCTGTGCCCCGGTGGGGACTCAGTCGATTGGTATTCTTCACCTTTCTTTCTCAGGCTTGTCCTGGCGAGGTCTGAGTGTTGGTTCTTCCCCTGCAAGCAGGAGACGTGTGTCTGGGATGGCAGGAGCTGAGCAAGCACAGAGGAGTGGTGCTGGCAGGGATTTTGGTGCCTGCACCCCTTGGGACTGAGGAGGTGAAGGAGTGGGCAGGGGGAGCGGCAGGGTCCCTGTCTGGGGTCACCAGCCCCCTGCTCCCCATCTTCTGGGGCTGTGGGGAAGGAAGACTTGTGGGAGCAGGTGGGACGCTTGGTGGGGGAAAGCCCAGAGGTGCAGAGGTGGAGCTCAGCTTCCCACGGCTGCATCGGATCGGCTTTGCTGCCATCCTCTTCCCCTGGCAGAAAAAATGAGATTCATTTTCAAGCACGATGAAAACCCACTGGCAGCATGGCTGCTGGGCGGAGGGCTCTGCTCGCTGAGGTGGTGGGGCCGGTGGGGGGTGGCTGTGGCTGTCCTTCGCCCACTCCAGCACGAGTCCAGGGTAGTGCTCGGTAGATGAGCATCCTCCCCACTTACCTTGCCCTCCCAGCCAGCAGCAGCTGTGCCAGCAGCCCCAGGCGGACGCAGCTCCGGGACTGGGCTGGTGGCTCGGCTGTGGTGAAGAGGAATGAGAAAACCATGTGGGGCTCAAGACCCTCCCCACTGCCCCCCCGCAACAGATGTTTTGACACCAGCATCAGAAGGGTTACATCCACATGCTTTTGTGCAGAGCTTCTGGAATTCAACATCCTCCCGTGTGTTGGACAAAAACACAGTAGGAATTGGAAATATTTGACCTGAGTAATGTAGCGTTGCAAGATGTTATTTTGGACACGGAAGAGGGAGTTCATGGTGCTTGAGGGGGTGAAGGCTGCCTGGCTCCCGGTGTGTGCCACAGCCTTGGTGCATGTGGACACCATGGGGAAGGCAGAGGTGACTCTGGTCCAGTCTGTCTCCTGATCTTGTCAAGGAAAGGGTTTGACCTCTCCTGGTGCATGCTCCAGTGGAGCAACCAGCCCTCCTGCATCATGTGGAGACCCCTTCCTTGACCTCCCACTGCCAGTCCTGTCTCTCTTGATGCTCACAGTGATGTCCCATGGTTTCTGTGCCCCTTGAGGAGCTGGGCAGGGGGGCTGGCCATGGAGTCTGCTCTGACAGCTGGGCAGTGCTTCCCAGCTGCTTCCCCCATGCAGCTGACGGGGGGATCAGCTCTGATCCTTTTCTAATCATCTGCTAAGTTCACTAAAGCAGCAGCAAAGCCAGGTGAGTGCTTTTCTGCCTGTTCAGTGAGCTGAATCGGCTCCCTGAAGCACCAAATGACCTTTGTATCAAAGTTACAAAGAGTGAATGCAGTTCCTTGGTTTTCACCAGCTCTTTACCCAGTGCTGAGCCGCTTCAGTGCCAAGATCAGAAATCACCTCCCATAGCAAAGTTGCTGCAGTGCAGGTGCCGTGTGGACCTTCTCTTCCTCAGCTTGTTCCTCCCACCCCTGTGGCTCCCGATGGACATTGGGGGTCCTGCTGCACTGACTGCTGGAAGGAACTTCCCTGCCTGCTGGAGCAGCCCCCTTCCCTGTGCCGGTGGCTGGAGGCAGTGCATTCAAAAAGGACAGCTTTTCTGCAGTGCTTTAGGCCTATATGGCCTCCAGCCTGGAGCATCAGGCCTTGGCTGTCGACTGGCTGTACTCAGACAGTCGCCATGGCCTGAATTCACCGCACAAGCCACGGTTATGTTGCCGGTCTGATTGGACACATGCTTATTAGAATGATGGTGGATGGGCACAGAAATAACCTGGAGCGTAAATGAAAAGCAGTTTACTTCTTTCAGAGCGTTTGAATTGACTTCGCAGTCCTGCAGCAGTGCAGGAGCTGTCCCTCGGTCACCACCACAGCAGCTCTGCCAGGAGCAAGGCAGCGTTTTGGAGACCCTCCTTCTGCAGCAGGATCTATGCCCTACCAGTGGGATGCTTTGAGTCATCTACCTACTGGAATATCTTATGCACGTACTTGGCACTATGCTCCTGGTACTTGCCCTTTGCCATTTGCACATGCTGGAAGGACGTGAGCGAGGGTGTCATTGAGCTCCCAACCAGGCTGCTGTGCCCCTCTCCGAGCTCGCCAGGACCTGAATGGCAGCCTGTGCTGTGGAACAGGGTGTTCAACTCTAATTGCATCCTTTCAGGAAAGCCAGGAAATATCAAGGAGCCCCCTGACAGCATGATGTTACCCACCGTGTCCCTCCTGGCATGGTTGGGTACCTTCTGGAGGCTCTGCAAAAGGCCAAGTGCTGGAGCCCTTGGGCACTTCAGTGGAGTAGCTCTGGTTGGAAGTGTGGCTCTAGGCAGCAGAACCACTCTTTTTCCAGGGTTATCCAATGCCCATTGAGGGCCTGAAATCTGGCTGGATGATGGTAACCTTGGTCGTGGAGGTCTCCTTCATAGTCCATGGAGACATTGCAGCATTGCTTCTTCAGCTGGATCACTGTCTCCTTCATGGCCTTCAGCACTGAGGGGTCGTTGGGGCTCTCCATCAGCAGGCTGTGCAAGTAGCTGGAGGGGAAGCCACCAGCTGTGCCGAGGTGGTACATGGCCTCCCTCCAGGTCTGGTGCAGGCAGACAGAGGTGGCATGGGACACTCCTGCCCCAGCCTCCACGGCCAGACCAGTGACTCTGCTGTAGGCACAGAGGAACCTGGCATTAGGCATGTGCAGGGCTGGCACCCTGAAACTCTCGAAAAGCACCTCTGCCACCTTTTCCCTGTTGGTGGAGGGCCAAGATGGGGAGTCGGCCATGAGCACTGGTTGTTTCTCTGGGAGAGCTTTCAGGACACAGAAGAAGAGGTGGCTCCATAGGCTTTCCATGCCATTCTAGTCCTCAGTGATGCTGTGTTTGAGTGCGTAAGTCCTGGCTGCTACGGCAAAGCCTGCTGTGCTTTCAGCGGTAGTGGGGGGCTGCTGGGTCTCCCATGTTGTGCCTGCTCTCCAGGGATGCAGCAACACAGTCCTTAGCACAAACTTGGGCTTCTTCTGGCCTGCAAAGCCTGCCCAGGTGAAGCTGCTGCTGTTGTCTATGGTGCCTGCAGGCTTTGGCGTGACTGGCGCTCCTGAGGGGCGCTGGGGAGGGAGGATGAGCCTCACCCTGCAGTGGAACAAGAGGACTTGTGCGGGGACAAACCAGGCACAGGTACCTGCTCTGCAAGGGAGGCACTGGCTCAACCCCAGTTGATGAGAGCTGTGCCAGCACCAGAGCTTGCAGGGGCTGTCACTCATGCTTAGCAGGTGACATGGGGACGGGCTGTGGGGTGTCCCCGAGCACAAGTGCATGTTGCAAATTCAGCAGAGATCTCTTCCTGTTGGAGAAGAGAGGCTTGGCGCTGTCTTTCTGGGGAAAGTGGGCTGGCCCACTGCCCTGTCTTGCTAGTGGTGGGGTGCTCCCTGGAAGGGGCTTGGGAGCATCCATCTGTGATCCTCCACAGCTCCCGGGGCCTGCAGGCGCCGGGGCCGGGATGGGGAGTCATGCTGTGCATTCCCTGTTCTGACCTCACAGGCATGCACCCAGAGGATGCTTTTGTCCTATAGTGTCATTGTTTCTGACAATAACTAAAAATTTGATTGGAATCCACCCTGTTGGGTTTATTTAAGGGCCATCCCTGTCCAGGTGCAGCTCTGCTCCCCTTGCACAGAGCCAGAGGCGTCTGACATATCCTCTCCCCTTCCGTGCAGAGGTATGAGACCTCCTCAAAGATGGAGCAGTTCCTGACCCGTTTCCTGCTGCGGGAAACCATGCACCAGCTGCAGTCCCTGGAGGCCTCGCTCGAGTGTGCTGTGGACACTGTGGAGGAGCAGGCGGGAAGGGAGAGGTAATGAGGTGGGACATGCCGGTCCTCCCTCTCCCCACCACCACTCGTGGGGGTTGCAGCATGGGGCAGGATTCGTGGGTCCCCCTGGGAGGGACATGTGGCAGCAGGATCTGCCCTTCCCAAGCCTGCTGTGAAGCTGGCCCATATAGTGGATGACTTCAACCCCTCCTTTTGCATTTTATTCTTTCAGAAAGGACATAAAGAAATCTGAGTCTTCAGTTGGCCTGAAGTCAGGGAGACGATGTGGACGCAGAGGACAGAAGAACATCTGTCTGTCTCCGACAGACCCCTATTCCGGGATGCTAACAACAGGTATCTGCAGCCCGGCCATCCCTCGCGTGGGTGTCTGTGCTCCACTGGAGCCTGGAGTGGGTGTGGGAGCAGCAGCGCAGGAGAGGGGGGGCTTGTCTGGGACGGAGCCTGGACCATCGCACTCAGATGCTGGCTGGAGCTTCTATGGGATGTTGTGTCTCTTGAACAGTGGGGAAAGTTTCAGGAGAAAAATAATTTTTTTGGCTTAATTCAGAGGTTTAGAAGCTTTTGCAGTTTCCTGGGTTTTGAGCAAGCTTTTGCAATGATAAAAGCAAGCTTTTCGGTGACATCTCTCTGCCCTTCCCTGTCCAGGCATTTGTGTCAAAGACAACAGCCAGTGGATGGCACAGATCAATAGGCTCCAGCAGCTCATCGAAAAACTGGAGTGCAAGGTGCGTGGCAGAGGGGAGGTGGGCTGGGGGCTTCCCCGCACCTCGGCGTCGGCCAGGTTGGTGCTGGGACCTCTCTCCGTGCCAACAGCCCTGGTATTTGGTCCTGGCATCATTACAGAGCTGCACCCATTCACCAGACCCAGACTTACAAAGCTGCTCACCCTTTGCTGTCTCCAAAGCCCCCCTTCTCCCGTCAGCTCTGCTGACTCTCCCCTGGCTTCTCCATGGTCCGTGCTGATCTGAGAAGTCAGTCTGGACCCACTGAGCCCCAAAGATCTGCGGGTGGCATCCCTATTCTCCTCCAGGTACCCAAAAGAACATCCCCAGAGTGGTACCCCCCTGTCACGCTGAGCTGGGCTGAGCTGTGGATTACTGCCACGTTTTATCTTGTTGCGAAGTTCTCCCAGTAATGATGATTTTTCCTGTGAAATGCAGAGCCCACGCCTGGAGCCACTGAAGGAGGAAGCGATGTGCAAAGGAAGAGATGCAGTAAGTCCCCGTCCTGCTGCTCGTTGTTTGCAGGTAACCCCGGCGTGTGCACAGATCCCCTCTCTCGCACGCACATGTGTGCTCGTGTCTGGAGTCACCTGGGCGAGCTGCTGGCTTTGGTCTGGCGGGGGGTCTGCTGCCTGGCGGTGTAGCAGGATGGGATCAGAGGGGTGAGCTGGGGGTGGGACCCTCCACGTGAAAGCCTCGGGCAGTGCCTGTGGCCAGCCCAGAGGGAGGCAACGCTCTGCTTGTGAGTGCTCAAATCCCCCAGATTTGCTCCGAGTGCCTGCAGACCATGCAGAGCCCAGTGGAGGGGTCCCAAAGCCCCTTTCCGCTGGGGGAAGGACACAGGGAACTGCAGCAGCTCTACAGCAGGACCCCACCATGGGGGGGATGGAGCATCTCCTCTCTGTGTGGTCCTCGTTGTAAAGGCGCTTTGCCTGCATAGGAAGAAGCCACTTTATTTTGGTGGTGTCCCCAGTATTGTGGTGCCAGCCCCTTCTTGCAGCTTCCCCTGCGGTGCTGTGCTTGCTCAGCCCTGCCTTGTCCCACAGCAGGGTGGGAGCAGGGAGGGCAGGAGGGTACAGATCAGTCCCTGATGCCGCTCGTGCACTGTCCCTTCGCAGCACATCCTGGTGGCGAAGAGGCAGATCTCGGTGGCGACGAGCAGCGTTGAGGAGTTTCGCCAGGCATTCAGATCCTACACGGAGGTCACCGCTGGGCAGAGCAACTGCCTGCAGTAAGTGTGGCGGGTGATGGGGTTGTTTGTGTGTAGGGGCTTTTAACACGGCAGCCTTGAGGGACAAAAGGGCTTTTTGTGGAGTATTTTGCATGCTGGTGAGTGCAAGGGTGGTCTCAGCATGCAGAGGTTTGACCTTGCAGAGAGGATGAGACCGTGTCAGAGCTGCAGCAGTGTCTGCCTGCAGTATCGTCCCATCCCCTGCTGCAGGTGCTCCCAGCAAGAACCACTTGTCAGCATCTGGAGAGGAG